ATTTTACAGCTCAGGCGGAAGGTGCTTACAGAATCCGAGAGTTGCTGTCAGATTGCACGCTCCATTGCTCTCTTCGTCCCTCGAGGTCAGGCGGGGTCAAACCCTTCTTTTAGTTATTGAATATTAACTGCACGTTTGACCGTTTCCGCCCACCACCCTCCACGTGTCGATCTCGCGGGGCCACGCCGGATTTCATCGAAAACCTCACTGTGGTCGACGAGGTATACCCTAACTCCGATTACTAAAGGAATCTAAAAGGGAAAAGAATTTTTAAGGAAACGGATTTATTAATACTGCCCACTCATTTCATTTATTGATTTATAAAGCACATTTAATAACAACAGGGAGTTGACCAAAGTGCTGTACAAAATAACAATTAAACAATGACATGAACAACAACAACAGGTAAGAAAATTAAAAGAAAATTAGGATAAAAGAATTGGTAACTCTCATACAGTTTCGAAAGCCAGAATAAAAAATTATGTTTTAAGATGCAATTTAAAAAGAGTAACAGTTGGGGCCTTTCTGATGTGGAGAGGTAGATCATTCCACAATTTCGGTGCCACAACCGCAAATGCCCGATCTCCTCTATGAACCATCCTAGACTTATGTAAAGAGCAGGTGATCGCTTGATCGAAGGGCTCTAGAGGGCGTATAAAGCTGCAATAGGTCAGACAAATAGTCCGGTGCCTGGCCAATTAGCACTTTATAAGTCAAAAGTAAGATTTTGAATTTAATTCTAAAACGCACTGGAAGCCAATGAAGGGAAGCAAGCACCGGAGTAATATGCTGGTGTTTCTCCACACGAGTCAAAAGGCGAGCTGCAGCATTCTGTACAAGTTGGAGCCGGGCCAAGCTGGACTGACTGACACCCACATATAGTGAACTGCAGTAATCCAGTTGAGATAAAACAAACGCATGAATTGCTCGTTCCAAGTTTCTAAAGGATAAAAAAAAGATCTCCGTCGCTTGCTTCACTTTTTGGGTGAATGAGATGCCATCAGGGCTATAATTGGGATCTAAATGGCAAACAGTTGGTTTTAGTGTTTAACGAGTTTCCTCCCACGGGGGATTCAACGTCCCCCACCCCACACCAGTGCGCACACAATATTTACTTGTTTACTTTTGGAAGAATTTTACGCACAAACATTTTTCTTCTTTCTTTTACAAAACATCAAGAATAAATAAAAAGAACCCGTGATATAGAGTCACACAGACTGCCACAGTTTGTTATAATATTCTAACACAGAAGTCCGTATTCCTCTTTTATCCAAGTAATTAGTTCAAATATGTCCGCAAACGTTTTGCGCGCATATTACCATAAAGACCGTAGCGCAAGTAATGTCCTTTTAAGCCGCCACAAGTTCACATATTACCTGCTGCGTTGATCTCTGTACAGGATAATGAAACTACCCACCTCTATTTCTTTTTTGCAATGTGCTCACCGTTTTTCTTCAGTTTCCTGCGAGCCATCCTCGTGTGCGCGCAGTATTTATTTCAAGATGACAGATGCACAGCAATAACCTCTGGAAAGCTCCTTTTTCAAGAACGGCACTATGACTTGGGGCCTGCCCGGTTCCCACAGACGCGTTTGTGTTGACTGATCACACAGGCAGCGATCATCCGCGGCTCTTCGCCACCCCTGACACTTTTCGACCCGCAGCTGATGAAAAATGTGTAAATTATTTCCCCCCGCAGGAACTGATCGTCCCCGAACTGAGCGTCAGGCCTGCAGACTGATCACGTGCAGCTCAGCAGCTCAAAACAGTCTCAACAAAGGGCAGCCGATTTTTTTAAAACAGGGATTTGATCCCAAGAAACCGATCACCTTCCCGCTGTATTATATTATAACGCTGAGCGTCATTTTTGTATCAATATTTAATTTTTAATGTTTGGTTGCAAAGGTGGGGCTAGTCTTCTATAAAAGCTTTTCTACCTGCCGGTAAAAAATGCTTGGAAATACGCTTCTGCGTCAGGCCAAAATATTACAAATAGTACATTTTTACTTTCGCCACTCAAAGTTTCTATTTTCCAATCGTTTAATTAGCTGGAATAAATAATCGTTTAGTCAGATTTATTTCAGCCTGATATTATTCCATTATTGGTTTTATATGTGTCGGGAATTTAAATGCGGATTGTTTGAGGATAATTCATTCTCAAATTAGACAGTTATTAACATCAATATGAAACAAAACAAAATAATCAGCCGAGAATTTGATGGCAGTGTTTTTTTCTCTCTCCTTTTCCAAGCAAAATGATCTCATCTGAAAAAAGATTTCTCTAAGCCCTGGACGCGTATGTTTCTTGCGACTCTGTTTTTCTTTTACTGACCTGCAGATCTGTTAAAAACGAGCCCTCAACGAGCTGAGCAGAGCACAAGAATTTCACTTGCTAATCGTCTCGTTCCGTTTGTTGTGTCCTGAGCGCACAGCTCTGAGATCAGCCCACCTGTCCTGCTGAAGCTCTGTTCCGGTTCCTCAGCTGTCGGGCTGACACAATGGAGCTGTAATTGAGCTTTTCCTGCAACGACTTTTAATGATGGAATCAGGTTCAAGCACTTTGTGAAAGTGTAAAATATCAGAATATTATTTTGTGGTGGTCTCCGTGAGGCCGAAGGCCTCGCCTCGGCCTCTGCAGTTCCAAAGCTGATGATCAACAGTCAGATTAGGACTTAAAGTGAAGTTGCAGGATCTGGGTATCAAAGACTAAAATAGGTGTGTTGCTGAGGTCTTTTTTTTTTTTTTAATTTTTTATATATTATTAAGCCCACAAAGTTTGAACTGATAACGATCTGATTGGTGTATTTACATGAGGCCCTGCCTTTAATGTCGATAAAAGCACAGTAAAAACACATATGTGTCTCCATATGATTCATTATGGAGTAAGTTCGTTAGGCTGTTGAAGTCGGAGAGATGGCTCCTTTTCCCGGACGCGCTCCTTCCTGCTGCTGCCATTGGACAAAACACTTTGTCTAGCTCTGTGTTCTTACTTCTCATTGGACACGCGGCTTTGCCAGAGCGCAGGAGAGCCGCCCTCTGCGCCTTTGAGAGAGAGAGAAAAAAAGACTCCTCCAGAAGTGATTATCAATCAGAGAGAAGTGAGGGGGACAGAGAGAGAAAAAGACACGGAGTGGAAGCACGGAGAAACGCGTGAAGCAGCACACCGCATCAAAAACACCGAGTCCTGCCGCGCTGCCAGGATGACACAGTCCTTCAAAAGTTTGTCGCGGCGTTTCTAGTCACAGTTGGGATTACTTTGGACACTTGGTGAGTTTGCGATCCGCTGTAAACACTGACGTGTGCATTTTTTCTTCTTCTTCTTTTTATTTTTTTGATTGTTTTGCTTTGCTGCGTTGGACGGACGGAGTGGGTTTTTCGCCGCTTCCCCCCACTTAGGGTGGATTTTGTGAGAAATGAGTGAAAGGAGGCGATCTGCCGCAGCTCTGAGCTCTAGAGCCCACGCTTTTTCCGTGGAAGCCCTGATCGGCTCCAACAAGAAGAGGAAGCTCCGGGGCTGGGAGGAGAAGGAGCTGGAGTTGTCCATGGAGAGCCTCGCCACGGACGGAGAGGATCCGGCGCACTGTCTGGATATGGATCCCGGTCAGTGCGCAGACACGCACAACATCGCTCAAATGTCACTGCAGAGCACTACAAATCCACAAGTCCCGAGTCAAAACGTGGCTCTGTGTTCAATGACCCAACCCCATGCAGAGCACACAGAGTCCACGCTCCACATTGTTCAGATCTTTACATTAAACAGACTGAGATGCAAGCCTGTGGAGTTATGCGTTTTGGTCTACAGGGATATTGTCTCATATATTCAGCATATGCGTTGATTTTCATCAGTAACAACAACAATAATAATAATGAAAAAACACAAAAACAGTTAGGACTTAGTTGATATTTGGTAGGTTTTTTGTGGGTTGGCCAAGTTTTGACTCTGGACTGGCGGATTACAATGTGAAGCTGCACCAGAAACACATAAAAACACATTTGAATCAGCTGTTTGCTCCTTGAGCCATTTTAGCCCAGCAATAATCTGCTTGAACTGCAGGGAGGCCTCAGTTTACTGCAGGAAGGTGCACTGGTTGAAACTAACCACTCAGTCTAACATGTTTCATCCTCGACGAGGAGCAGCCTTTAAATAGTCACAATTACACTGTCCTCTGATGAGAGTTTAAAAAATAAGTTTCTGTGGAGAATTGCATTTTGCGTTTAAGGCGCACAAATTCGCAGAGCAGCCCGTCCATTCTCCATTCACGAGTGCGCACAGAGAACGCTTAAAGAAAAAGAAAGAACTCAAATGTTGTCACGTCATCTGCTTAAAACGGGTAAGCGCTTTAAATGTGTTGTATGAAACTAACAGTCACACAAGATGATTATGAAATATTTGAGTTCATAACTGCACTCAAGTAGTGGAAAGGCGTGTTGTGTAAAAGCAAAGGAAAACTAAATAATAATAATAACAATAACAACGGAGTGAAATAAATATCACAGTTTAGAAAGCGTGGCAAAAAATAATTGTATTTTATTGTAAGTAGTTTTATACGTATCCTTAAAACAAGCATGCGAGATGAAGCAATTTAAAAAAAAGTTTATGTAGTTTGTTCTTTTTTTATTTTAATTTTTAAATCATAGCTTTTTTGCAGCTCAAAACAAACTTCATTGTAAGTTTTTTGCGCCAAGTCAGCATTTCTATATTTTCATTGCGCAATATAATTATTTTAAATAAAACATAATCTGTTTTGTCTCAGCAATCTTAAGGCGTAATGCGTGGAGATTAAGTAACCCTGCAAAATAACCCTGACTGTTTTTGTTTGTTTTTTGTTTTAAATACCTTGAGGCTTCCCTTTGAGTTCACAATGTTCGTTTTTCGCTTCACGGGTTTCAGCTGCAATTCAATTTAGTTTTATCTTTAAAATCATTCACGAAAAAAGATTTTTGTTAAGTCGGTCACTTGAAAAGTAAAATTAATATAGAGGACTAAATGAGCCGTGTAGATAATGTACGCTGTGCACATGTGAATTCACATTAGTTCGCCGCGTGGGCCTGTGTGAATCAAGTTATATCATAACCGCATCACTGCTCATTAAATGTTTGTATGAATGCGCAGAAAGGTAGAAGCTGAGCTTTGAGCCTTGAGCTAGCTCAGACGGTCTCAGGCCAACACTACCTCGCCGCCTGCAGCAGTCTGACCTTTGGGGTCGCACGGCTACTCTCCGGTCTTCAAACGGATCCAAACGCAAACCTTAAAGAGTAAAAGCAATAATAATAAAAATAACAAAAGCGAATAAACAAAACCAAACTATAGTTTTCTCGAGGGTTTGCCTCCCAGGAGCTCTCTTGGGAAGTTTGTTGTTATTGAAGGCCGTCCGTGGTGAAATGAGGAAGGTGGAACTAAACGCTGATTACAAGCAGCTCGTTTCTGTATGTGTTTGAAAGGGTAAACGCATCAAGAAAAAATAAAGCTTGGTAGTCGCTGAAAAAAACCTTCAAGTCATTTACTAAAATGTTGTTTTTGGCTGCAGCGGGGAGAAGAAAGGTCTCTAAGTTCATCTCCTCATAGTTTTTGTATAGTTTCAGAATTTGTGGCTGAGTGGACCAGTTCCTGGTCCCTCTGTCCCGCTCATTAGCAGGCGGATTCCTGGCAGGTTCTGCGGGCCCTGCTTGAGTCCGAAAGCCTCCACTTTGGCGCGTCGGGCGGAGGTGACCGAGAACAGCGAGTCTCTGTGGTCAGATTATGTGGTTTAGAGGAATCCTTAACGGAGTGATTTTATTTTTACTCAACTCCAGGCGATGCTGGAAGCCGGCTGGTCGTATAACACGTTTATTAGCCTCAAAGACAAGGGCAGGACTGAGACAAGCACAGAACTGAACCAGGCTCGGATTTAACAGCCTGCCTGGAAGAGCTCAGCAGCTCAGTTAGCTCTGAAAAAACGTTGTTTTGTTAGACCTCACAGAACTACTTCCACCACACACTCATAATATTTATCCATTAAAACATCGATTAACAAGTTAAACTACATCTACTGTGAATTCAGAATTATGCGATTTGTATGGCGGTAATTTATAATAATTACTTTTTAATACGCAGAACTGAAGCCATGCAACAAACTGACATTTTGCTAAAAATCGGGTATTTATAACCTATTAAGATCAATGTAAAATTATATATTAATGTCACTACACCGCTCCTTCTGTTTGCCATTTCTCCAAAAGCTCCCTCTCTGTGTAAGCATGCAAGCTGATAGAGAGAGATGGGCTTGAAGTTTGCGTACTTCCAGTCTGCATCAGTGTAGGAAACAGGTGCTCTCACGGTGTGGATGGTGTTACTCACTGGTTTCATGCTGGGCAAACCGCCGCTGTCCACTTCAGATGGCGTTTTTCCAGTTTTGCAACCTAAGACATGACATCTTTTATCAGTGCACCCCAACATCAAACGGATATTTGCAGATCATTTCAAAGGGATATATTTGGCATGTATTTTCAATTTTTAAAAAAGTTGCATGATTTGTAATATTACCTACTTGTGGAATTGTTTTGAAGTGTTGCAGCCCAAATCAGGTTAAAAAGGTACTGTTCATTAGAAGGAAATTAGTAAGACATCTATACTCGATAATTTAAACCAGTATTTTACACTGATGATATAGATCCGATCTTGAAGTGGTAATTGGTGATAAAATAAATTCAAATAACAATAATCTACTTCCTCATTACTTCCAGCATTTTCCTTATTAACATATTAATAACTATCTATTTACAGTTCAACCCCGCTTGAGTTCTGCTGACAGTGTAGTGACAAAATGTGAACTGCAACACAAGAGACCACTGTAATGTACAGCACAGACGATTCAGTTCTGGCCAATTAGTGGCTTAGCATCAGTGTTAGTCTCAATTTAATAAGGCCTGGCATGAGCTTAAAGAACCACAAGATGCTGGCCCCATGTGATATTCTGTTTGTGTGTGTGTGTGTGTGTGTAGCTAACCACAGCAGATGTCATGACAGAATTCTGCTGAGTGGGCAAATTTTTGTCTATCAATAAATGTCAGTTTTTATTTGTTCAGCATAAAGTGGGAACTTAAGCTCTGAAACAAAAACCCAGGTCTTATAATCTTGGCGCTGTGCGACTCTGGACTAAAGGTTTTATGCTGTGTTTCCTGTTTTGCTCGATTTTGACACATTTGCTCTGAGTTCTTAAACTGTGACCTGACCTCAGACGTGCCATTTAAATCTACACATGGACATAACGCACACATTGAGCTCTACCTGCTGCTAGGTATGTTTGCCTGTTTGTCATTTAGGTTTAGAGCTCTGCGTTCGTGTGTGTGTGCAGCCGCCGAGTGGCAGAGGACAGGTCCTTCAGCCTAGTGTCAGGGCGGCCCGGCTCCAGCTTGGTCCTTTGGTTCGCCCCCTCTGCATCTTGAAGACATTCATACCAAAATTATCTCATTTAATCGAGCTGCTCTTGCTGTCTGGAATGCATCTGTTTCCTCTGAGCGCCTCTGCTTCACACACCATCAACTAGCTTGAGATGCCAATAGTGGATTGCACAGGGTAGCTTTTCAGCCCATGTTTACTGCAAATATTCCGATCGAGCTTAATTTTGATGGCACAGATGTTTGCATTCTTTATTTGTTACTGTTAGAGTGAACTAGCAAATGTGTTTAGATTATTAGAAGACCCCAATTCAACACTGAAACCTGACAAATGATATTCTTGTAGATTTATACCCTTATTTGAGCTTCTTATTTTAATTTGGTGACAGACTTACAATTGTGCCACACAGCTTGAAACAGAGTTAATCAAACTTCACTGCGGACATTATTGAGACCGATGGTGGTGCAAGGCTGAAAACACTCAACCCTATGCCAAAACATTATATGAAAATTATATACCAATAAAAAAAAGAATAAAAGCAAATTTCTAAAGCAGGTTAACAATAGAAGTCTGTTTATCTTAATAAAATAAGGTGTTTAATTTTCATTGAAAGCCCTGAGTTTGCTTGATCTAACCTTACAGGCCCCTTTAAAAATTAATTAGAGTAATACAGACGTGATTTTTTCTTCATTTCACTTAAGCCCTCCATCCTGTCCTCTTCCTTTGGCACCAGGAGCATGTGTTTATAAAGTGTGAGGGGGCAGCTGAATGACTGTGCATGAGTGTGAACAGTTAAAGGGAATCATGTGTGACAGTCCTCACTGGCTGCAGTGACACTGCAAGGATCTCCCAAGAAGATGATAGAAAGACTTTCTCCGTCTCTCTGTGGTCACTGCACCCCTCGCCCCCTGCTCTTCCTATCTCTCCCCTTCACTCTCTTGTTTCCAGCAGGGTTGGCTCGGCCTGCGCCTCGGTGTTTTTTTCGCCTGGGACTCTGTCCAGTCTCTCAGCAGCTCTGCATTTACATAACCATATTTGTGTGCCCTTAGTCTGCCAAGTCAACCTCCTTGTGTCAGGGCCCTCAATAAATAATACATTATTAGATTCTTTTTATTTTTTACTTTCTGGGTGGTGGTGGTGGTGGTAGTGGTGGTGGTGTTGGAAAGGGTGTAGGATATTCGGCTATAAACTATTTCTGAGAAAAGTGAAATGAGAGAAAGCATGTGGTGATCTTGTGAAGGTTTCTATCTGGATAAAGTGCAGGTTCAAAGATTTGAGCAGTGAAGTTTTTGGCAACCCAGCTGGAAAAAAAAGATGATCTTTTTTTTTTATATTTAAGCCCTAAAGGTTGAAATTTTAAATCTAAAAGACATCACATGTGTTAAATCACATTACAGATTCAAGCAGAGAAAAGGGGGCAGAGCAACTGCTGGTTGTGTAAGTCTACATTCCTCTTTCGGTGGAAGGGATTTGGGGTTTTTACAGCGTTTTTAAAAATTAATTCTATTATTATTATAAGAAAGTAGCTTTTTTAGTGTAGAATGCAAACTTAAGTAATAAGTGTTTCTGATGTAAATAACACAGCTACAGCTTGGGTGACGTATTTCAACTGAGTAAATTGAACTTCTCACAGAAAGCCACTCGAATTCCTTAGGTGTGCTTTTTATTTTGTCCGCTGTATAGTAGCCTGCTAGTTTAAAGCACACTGAAATAGGGCGACGTGAAATAAAGTGAGGTCATTCTGGTTGTTTTTTGGGGGAATTAGAAGCTCAGAAAGATGGAAAAGCTCTCCTGTAGGTCTGGATTTGCTTCAAGATCGGAGCAACGTTTTATCTGGTCTAACGCTGTGACTGCGCTGATGACTTTGAACGGTCAGTCTGTAAAACTTGGTCCAGGAGGAACACTTGAGGGGAAATTTCATTTGCTAAATGTTTCCCAGTAGAATTCTTCATTGTGTGGCCCGACTTAAAATTTAATATTTTCTAAGTCGCTTTTCAAAGGCCTTTACGCAGCATTTATTCTGCTTTTGACACCGACCCAGAACTCCATGACGAGCCTGAGCCAGTAAGCCAAACGCTTCTCTCCGGCTGTAGCCGGCAGGTGATTTGGAGTCAGCCGAGAGAACCGCGCTGTACTTTCTGGCCGTGCCAAGTTTCCTGCATAAAGCTTAAAGCGCTTAATTCCACTGTTTCAGAGCTGCCTTCTCATCTTCCTCATTCCCCCCTCAGACTCAGAGGCGAGTCCCGGCTCGGACGGAGAAGGTCTAGCCGAGAGGACGTCGTGTTCTTTCGGCTCATCTGCCGATCTGGCCCCGGGCCCCTGCGACCCGTCTCCCCCGGCCTCCATGGATGAGATTCAGGTGGAGCTGCAGTGCGCGGACCTGTGGAAGCGCTTTCACGACATCGGCACGGAGATGATCATCACCAAAGCCGGCAGGTAAGGTTCATATACACCCCCTGCTCCATCCAAACTTATCACACACATCCACCCATCTTTTTTTTTCTTTTTTTTTATTTAATTAGAGGTTAGCGTATGAAAACAAGTCTCTCCCGCACAGGCCTCCCTCTCTCTCTCTCTCTCTCTCTCTCTCTCTCTCTCACCACACACACACACACACACACACACACACACACACACACACACCCACCCACACACACACACACACACACACACACACACACACACACACACACACACACACACCTCTTTGCGCTCTGTCTGGAGGGTGTTAATGTGTTGCACATGCAGGCCGCAGTGCTGCGTTCAGGCCCTCGTGACGCGGCAGGTTATTCCTGATGTCGGAAAAGAAGGAGACCTGCTTCTAATTAATCTCTGTAACATGTTCCGGCTTTTTTGTGCTCTCTCGGGCCAACAGTCCAAACACGGAGCGAGAACAGAAGTTGACCTGCGGATCCTGAAGGAAGTACCTTTATCCCTGCGCCCGCAGCGCCGTGCGTTTCCGACATTTCCCCGCTCGCTCCACAACAGTCGGCATGACTAACAACACCTCTGATAATGTTTCCACTTGAAGGCAAATAGCCCCCTTTAACACTGTATCTGTTATTCCATCTAATTACACTCTTTACACTTCCGTAGAACAATTTGCCTCTTTAAAATGTTTTAGGTCTATTGAATCAAAGTGTTTTGGAAACACTGCGAAATGTTCATGTAAAAATCTCATTCATGTTTGTATTATTATTATTATTATTATTATTATTATTATTATTATTATTATTATTATTATTATTATTATTATTATTATTAAAAATATTATTATTATCAATACTGCTACTACTAGTAGTATTGATAATTAAAAACACTTCCATTCCCTAACTATAGTAGAAATGTATGTAGGCCTGTGGGAGAACTTTCTGCAACACAGCTAAAAAAATAAATTCTAAAAATATCGCACACTATTATCATTATTATTTCAGTTTAACAGGTGAGTTGTATTTGTTTTACATTTAGAAGAATTATTATGAGATCTGCTTTGGTCCATCTTATTGAACTCTTTTCTTTTCCTGTTGCAACACTTTGGAAACCTGAGTTCAAATATACCCAAAGCTGTTTCTCAGCTCTTCCTCTCTTCAGATTGAAATACGGTCTCATGTCGCCCTCCTCCCGCCGTCACACACTACACTTGGCCGTTTTTATGAATTGGGTTTAAATTGGTAATCGGCTCATAAATAGAGCAGCAATCAGTTTGCGCCGAAGCAGAGTGAAGGCGGACGCGACCGTCGCCGAACGTATTTCACGGCCTGCTCATAATAAGCTCATAAATCCAGAAGAGAAGGGAAGCAAGAAAACAGCCCTCTTTTCTCATTAGGCAGGCCCCGATTTACGACCGTTAAACGCACAGCCGAACAACGCGGCGTTTGAAGTGCAAAATGAGGAATTAAGCTGAAATGTCTCCCTCTCCATATACAAACTTTTATTTAATATGGGTGCAGTTTTTCCCTTTAAATTGGACATTTTTCATGCGGTTTGCATCACTTCCAGTCTCAGGCTTTGCAGGCTATAGTTTCCAAATATGAAGAGCTGGTTGATAATATTTAGGCATAAAATCCAAATAAATCATCGATACAGGATAAAAGGCAGTTTCAACTGTTTTAAAATAAGGTAATACACCTGCACAGTATTGTTAAAAGACAAAGGTCAGGGGTCACTGGCTTGGCAGAATGGATAATACAATGAGGATCCTTCTCCACTTCAATAATGGAAATGATACACACAGAAAAATCAACTATATATATATATATATATATATATATAGCATTTTTCTTATAGATGCAAAGGGGATAATTAAAAAATATGTTAAAGAAACGTAAAAAAAATACATGTGATTTAAAATATTAAATAAATCTGGAGATAATATGTAAAGCTCAGAAGACTGTCAGCTGTACAAGGCAGAAGTTGTCCAGACTGGATTTATGGCTTTAAAGGAATAATCAGGGCTAATTGAAACTGTACACAGAAATCTGGGATCTTTGGAAAATCAAACGAAGTGAGATTCCAATGTCTTGAATAATTAGTCTATTTATCGCCTGTTTTAATGAGCATAAACAGCCTAAAATGTGCCTGCGTGCTGTCTCACATCCCTGCGTCAACAATAGCCGGACTGTTCAAATGAATGAATACACACTGTTTCCTCATTACAGAGAGGGAAGGCTGACAGAGCAAAAGCTGAAAAAAGTTTAATTAAATATTTTTAAATCAATGTTCTTGTATTGTTATCATTATTAATATAATTGTTATTGTTTTTGTTAGTGTAATTCACCATTTAATGTGGTGGTTATGATCATTAGTGTATTTTTTTCATGCTCCTAATACGAGTGTCTGCACAGTCGGCAGTACTGCATCATGACAAACATCAGGAGCGTTTAGGGTGACAGATGTGCATACGGCAGCATTTCTTTGTTGTGTTCTTGTTTTTGTTCCCAATTTTTCTTCTTGTTTTTTCTTTTTTTAACTTTTTTTGTAAATATTTAAAGCCATAAATATGTTTTATACTCCACAGTAGGAGTAAAAAAGAGACCCCTTTTCTTAGTAGCACAGTCACTTCATCTGAAGAATGAGCTAATGAAAATCACAAAACCATTACATTTTATATAAATTTTATATATTTATAGGTGTGTGTATGCGTGTGTGTGCGTATATATGTAGTATGTTGTTATTTTGAAATAAATCTCTCTCACATCTATTACCATATGTTGCTTTTTTCCCTCTAGGAGGATGTTTCCAGCCATGCGTGTAAAGATAGCAGGTCTGGACCCTCATCAGCAGTACTACATTGCCATGGACATAGTGCCTGTGGACAACAAGAGATACAGGTACCTCCTGTTTGCACAAACATTAATGGGCGTGAAGGTTGATGTAGCCTAGTCTAGTGAGTAGCATCTAAAAGAGAGGTCCTTCGCTAACGAAAGTTTATTTATGTTCCCTTCCTGTTCTACTCCCTTTCAAATGCAGAAATGGACTTCTCCCTACCCAAATGCCATTAAATCAAAAATGATTTCGTTCTTTTGGGTTTTGGTGGGAAAGTTTAATGTCCCGTGATGGTCTAAATGTTCTTTCAGATGCTTTTCACCCACGTCAAGAATTAAACTGTGGCGAATATACTAAGTAATTGTATTTTATCAAAGCCATTAAACATGGTCGATTATGCAGATGTTATCTATCAGCAACAGAAGGGTACCTTTTGTTCGCTTCATTCTGAAAGTAGCAGTCTCTTTGCCCAATAACCCTGCACGGCTAAACATGCACAGTCACATCTCTGTGCGGGAACGCACGAGCGAGCCTGCACCCTGCACCCTGCTGCTGCTGTAGCTGGACGCAAAACTCTACTTTCCTGGATGATTCTCAAAACGCTGGATGGAGCGTAAACATTTTGACCTAGTTGGATTGTTCTCATCTTCCTACCATTTCTCATGTTGGTGTCGTACATAACAGGATTTGGATTAAACAAAGATATTGCAGCTTTTTTCCTGCTTCACATTTTTCAAAACGGCTACTTGAGGTGTTCTTGTCGTCTTCTTGGCCGAGCAGGAAAAAGTAGTTGCTCCCATCATTTGATTAAGGAGAGCATGTGTAGGAAGAAGGCTCGCATGTGATGAATCTCTCTGGATATGCAATAAGACTGATATCCAGGCAGACAGTATTGGCCCCTGAAGTCAGAGCCAGAGAGAGGAGATTGAAATGTATTCATCATCCCACTGGCCGAGCAGCAGAGCCAGAGTCTGCCTGCAAATAGGATAACACTCAGTATTCGAGTCTAATCAGGGAAACGGCTGGAAAAAAATGAGGTCAAAATGGGAAAAATGCAACGCTGCACATCTACCTGCTGCTGCCGTAGCTGACCGTCCAAGTTTTCTAGGCTGGGGTTCACCTGCACATATTCTACACAGACCACGTCTGGTTTTATTCTTATTATTGCTAATACAGGCTGGAACTTTGTCCTGAAGCAATAATAAGGCAAATAACCCATGACCTACATACTTATCTCAATCACAAGGTTTTTTTCACAGATGCTGCTATTTGTGTTTCAAGTGATTTGGCAGTGGGTTCCCCTAAGAACTAAAAGCAATCACAGCAAAGCAGACAGGAAAAATCTCATTTAGCAAAGGTGAGGTGTAATAACCTGAAAGGGTAAAAATGGCAAAAATCGATGTTTTATTACTGCGACATGTCTAATCCTAAAGATAACACAAAATCCAACAATGACTTACTTTGTAGATGTTGCGTCTTCTCCCAGCACATTTGTTTCACTCGGTCTAACCATTGTTACGGAAAACTGAAAACTCGAGATTGATTGAAACAAATGCAACCCTGTTCTAAAAAGGTTGGTGTGCTGTCGTGTAATGTGAATAAAAACAGAATGCAAATCTTTATTTAAGTGAAACTAGTACCACAGCACCTATCAAATCTTTAAGATCTGAAGTTTTATACATTTTTTGGGGAAATGGGGAAAAACATGGATTAAATGATAGGTTATAGGTCCTGATTGCAGACAGGGCAGTTTAGAACCTGCACCCTTGTTTCCTGTGCTGTTGTCATATGTGCAGATTGTGGTTTGCCACTGTCTTGCTGAAATAATCAAGACCTTCCTTGTCAAAGACTTAATCTGGATGTCCTCACACAAAAAGCCTCTATATCCTTCAGCACTACTGCGGTGCGTTCACTGACAGTGGATTTCAGAAGCTTTTCTGAGTTCATGGAGTGATTTCTGCTACATAAGTTTCTGTTTTTTGGCTTTTAACTTCACCACAGACACTTCTTTAGATTCCGTGAAGTTGTTTAAAACTGAACTTCAGTTGCTGAACAATTGATCCAAACAGTCTGTCACAGAGTGGCGAAGCTTTTTTCTTATATTTTAACCTCTCTGCGATGCTCTTTTCATACTTAGTGATGTTTATAATGCAACTATTTAGCCGTGAGCTATACGATGAAGTGTTTTTAAGCATTAAACACATTTTCCATTTCTCTCCTGCTCTGTTGCTGCAGTTTTTTTTATTGCGCTTGTTGCATCATCATAATCAATATTCAAAATTCAGAAGAAAAAATGGAACCTGTCTTATGTTTGATAATAATAATACTTTTCCTTCTTTAGCTATAGTTTAAGAAAATATTCATGTTAGTTCTTATAATCCAAAAGTTATGGTTGACATCTTCAGCTTAAATTGGAAGTGTGTTTTTAACTTGCAGCGTGGATTTAATTTCAGATGTTTAAACAATGTTTTTCAATGATGAGAAAACATAAACAGCTCTTTATTTTTTTTTCTTTTGCCTGGATAGATAAATTGATATAGCACTTTAAAAACATGTATGTATTAATAATGATCAAATTGACTGACTTAGTGGCAACATAATTGCGTGTGTGTGGTAGATCTGAGTGTATCGGCAGGGCATATTTTTAAAGCAGATAGTTTTGTTGCACGAAAGATGATTGCCGCGAGCTAGTTTGTTTTCGTGTGAGAGTGACTATTTGTTCAAAAGCTGAGTGCACCACAAATAGATCCCCTCTCTTTCTGCAAAACAAAACCATGTCATTCCCTGCAGAGAATCTCCACTCCCCCCACGACCACTCAAACTCAATTAAAATTCATTCATCAGGAAGAAATAAAAGTCTGCATAAAAGACAAATTAGCAAATTAAAATAAAGTGACTTCTGCAATCAGTGCATTTTATTTGACCTCCCTGCACCCTTCATTTCATTTCATTGTTTAATAATGTAAAGTTTTCCACCAGAGCGTATAGCAGACGTTCTGCCCTGCCGCCTCTCCTTGCTCTCCCACCAGCGAACCAAGACATGGAGGATTTTTAGAGGCCAGAAGATCTTGTAAAATTAAATAGGATTTTCTTCCTGGCTGGGGAATTTACCACAGGGCTTTGCAAACTGAGCTGGGAGCTGTCACTGGTGTGTCTCAGAGTCCCAGGGAGTTTGGGGTCTGGAAATAAGGTCTTTATTGGAATCGACTTGCTTTACTTGGGCTCACTGCCCCTGCTTAGGAACGTCTCATTGGTACCACGCTCATTAAATCTCCATATATTACACTTCTTTTATGTGGACAGTCATTTGGTTCGTTCTGAGTTAAGGCCACTGAGCGTGGGGTCTGTCTGGCTCCTCAAGCATACCTCTTTGCTTCGAGTGTGTGGCAGTGCACGTTGCAGTTTTGCTTTAACATGCGCAGGTTCCTGCACAGAAATGGGAAAATGGATCAAACAGCCACCAACATATTCACAGACATCTACAGGGATAAAAGACAGATGTATGCAAAAATAATTACGTTACTTTAGTCATGGGGTCAATCCTGGTTTCCCAACCCTATAAACTAATCCCATCTTAATTTTAAAAATGCTGTAAATGTACGTTGACTGGAAAATTGACTTCATTTTGAAAGAAGAAGAAAACCTATTCTAAGTTTAAACATTATATAGATGTATAACTTTTACATAGCTTTTAATTGTGGGCATTGGATTCAAAATTTAGGGGATATCTTATTACACCAACTATATCCTACATATCCCCTCTGAACAAATTGACTGTCCTTAACTTTCTTTAAACAAATGTTTATTTGCTTCTATTAGCAAATATTCTGTTAGGATTGTGTTTGGTTCTTTTGTGTTGAAGCAGAAAAACACACACGTAGAAAAGGCACAGAAACAGCCAAAGATAGACAGTAATTCCTCCAACCAGGATTCACCAACTATATCTTAAACATAGTCTCCACTGAAAATTGAAGTCAAGTTGTAAAAGTAAATCAACCTTCTTGACTGCTGTTTGATCTTCATAAGTATAGAAATAAAAGAACCCATATGACTGGATACTCAGAAACAATTAAAAGAGCAACAGCACACACACACACACACACACACACACACACACACACACACACACACA